GTGCAGAGGTTGTTTTACAGTTGTAGTAAACATTGTACGGCACTTGCAACACAATAAGGTAAGGTCATATAAGTGCCGCAGAATAGAGGTACTGCAAGAGAGTGACATACACAACAAAAGAAGAGATAGGAAAGAAGGAGCAAACCACACCAGAGCACCCGCCAACCACTCACTGTTAGAGGTTGGTGAGGTTAGAGGTAGAAAATGTCAGTGGTAGATTAGGTCAGTAGTAGAAAGGTAAGAGGTAAATGAGGTCAAAGGCCGATGAGGTCAGAGGTTGGTGAGGTCAAAGATTGGTGAGGTGAGAGGTAGATGAGGTCAGAGGTTGGTGAGGTCAAAGATTGGTGAGGTCAGAGGTAGATGAGGTCAGAGGTTGGGGTCAGAGGTAGATGAGGTCAGAGGTAGATGAGATCAGAGGTAGATGAGATTAGAGGTAGATGAGGTCAGAGGGTTGTGAGGTCAGAGGTTCATGAGGGCAGATATAAATGAGGTCAGAGGTAGAAACGGTCAGACGTAAATGAGGTCATATATAAATGAGGTCATATGTAAATGAGGTCATAGGTCGGTGAGGTCATAGGTCGGTGAGGTCATAGGTCGGTGAGGTCAGAGGTCGGTGAGGTCAGAGGTCGGTGAGGTCAGAGGTTGGTGAGGTCAGAGGTTGGGGTCAGAGGTAGATGATAACGAGTCGCCACCCAAGAGTTACAAAGTTCTATCTACTCAGTACATGTACTCACTTTTGAGAAATTTGACGTTAAAATTTTGACGTTTCACAACCCTTCAAGCTTCCTCGAAAGCAATTCTTTGAATACCTTGAGAACAACTCCGAATCAGTTTTCGATTTTGATAGAGCAGATACATCATTTGGTTCATGACCTCAGGGTCTTAGGCAGCGAATATATGAACATACAATGTAGTTGACAAGAGACAATACAAAAAAAAAACCCTGGAAAAAAGACGTTTGCCTCTCTCCTCGATACCGTAAGGATACAGAGGCCGGAAACAGTTGACCGAGTGAGATCAGTGAGCAAATAGATAACGTTATCATATATACATTTTGAATTTTCCCAGATGCTGTCAATTTAATAGAAATGGACTTATTTGGAACACATTAATAAATAGATTGATTGATAAATAAATAAATAAGTTAATAAATAAACAAATAAACAAACAAAAAAACAAATCAATCAATCAATCAATCAATCAATCAATCAATCAATCAATCAATCAACCAATCAATCATTCAATCAATCAGGTACATGCAGTACAATACACGTACTTGAACTATCGATGAGGCACGTGGCTCCTGTGTAGGGGGAGGGGCAAAGGCACGTAGCCACGCCCCCTCTGTCAGCACAAGCTCCGCCATTGGAGCACACGAGGGTGGAGGAGGTGCAGGCGTCGGTGGTGGAGGTGGGGTTAGTGGGCTGGGTATTGGCTGAGGACGGGATAGGTCAAGTGAGTTGTTAATAAGGAAAGCACCATTTAGCCCCGGGAACTATTCCCACTGAGAGGGGCAATCGTAACTTAGACGTACATGCAGATCTAGAACGGCTTTTGGAGACCACAGTACAGGGCTGGGGGAAATCTTTCCCGATTCTCCTTTCTTCTAAATCTAGATCTAGATCTAGGCTACGGTCAAGTCTAGACCCAAGTAAGAAGAGAGGAGAACAAAAATACTGAACTGAAGTGAGAAGAGAGTCTACAGTACGTTAGAATAGAATCTAGGCCTAGAATCCTGATCTAAATCACCAACAAAACTACCAAGCACTCACCTTTTTTTAAAAACTGCTCTTAACTAAAACAGCATTAAATAACCTAACAGTGTTGATAGGGGTGTTAAACCCATACCATTTCACCATTTCACAAAAACAGCACTGGTCTCCTTTTGAAAAGCTGCAAATTTCGCTTCAAATTCTTTGAATGAGGAGAACTTGGCGCCGACTTCCATTTGCCTCGCAATTTTGTTTCGAAGTGAAAATTCAAAGACAAAGACTTCTTGTTTTTTTAATGCAAAAAAGCCTTTGAACTTAGAAATATTATATTTGTGAGGCTGGACTTTAGAAGTTATACCCCTTTTGAAATCGTAAAAAAACGAAGAAACCAAGCCCGCTTGTCCTTAAAAGCGAACATATTTGAACAGCTGTCTAAAGATACAAGTATACTTACAGTTAACAGAGCACGTGGTTCCTGTGAAGGGGGAGGGGCACAGACATGTAGCCACGCCCCCTCGGTCCGCGCAAAGGCCGCCATTGGTGCACACGAGAGTGGTGGAGGTGCAGGCGTCGGTGGTGGTGGCTGCTGAGAACAGGGGGCAGGGTCAGGTCAGGGGGGTTAGAGGGTCAGGGGGGTTAGAGGGAGGCGGGGTGGAGTTTGGGAAAGGAGCGTTGGTGGTTATAGGGGTGAAAGGGTTGGGGGGGGGGAGCAAGGGAAGGGATGTAGATGAAGGGAAGGGGCAGTGGTGGATGGTTGGAGAGGGGGGTAGGTTAATGTGAATTTCCAAATCAAAACTGAAAAGAACAATACCTAAAAAGAAGGAATGAATAAAAGAAAGGAAGAAAGAAGGAAAGAAAGAAGGAAAGAAAGGAAGAAAGAAAGAAAGAAAGGAAAAAAGAATGGAAGAAAAAAACAAAAGAAAGAAAGAAAGAAGGAACGAAAGAAATGACAGACAAGAAGGAATGAAAGAAAAAAAAATTGAAAGAAAGGAAGAAAGAGACAAAGAACGAAACAAAAAAGAAGGAAGAAAGAAAGAAAGGAAGAAAGAAAACAAAAAACAAAGAAACAAAGGAAAAAAACAAAGAACAAAAAAAAGAGAGAAAGAAAGTACCTTGCTGTGTGCAGGTCAGGCCATAGAAGGGGTTGGGACAGTAGCAGACGGCTTGCCCTCCCTGGAGCTGACAGATGCCGCCATTTTGGCAGACCACACCGCCACACGCACTTCTGGACAGGGCTGAGGGTGCAAACAGACAGGTTCTATAAATAACTATTTTATAAATAATTGTTCTATAAATAACTTCTATATATAGCTGTTCTATAAATAACTGTTCTATAAATAACTGTTCTATAAATAGCTGTTCTAGAGATATCTGTTCTATAAATAACTGTTCTATAAATAGCTGTTCTAG